GCCCGACTACTTCCATCAACGACAAACTGCATTTCTAGTAACGATTGTTGGCTTTGGCGCCTCTAGCAACTGAAATACACATTTACTGCGTTCGCATATTTATGGATTGTTCCGGGACTAGCTGTTTTTTCACAAGTTTTTCCAACACGACAGTGTGGGTCATTTTATTTGATTTGCACTGGCACAGGAATGGAGCAAATGATTCATGACAACTCCCGCCTAAGTGATGTGAATATCTTTACAGATGGCTCTTTGTTGAGAAGCAGTCGAAGTGCATAGGGGTTTACAGATAAGCGAATGGACGTTGCTTAGTGCAACAAAGCCTTGAATATGATATCACGTCTAGTTTGAGAATGAAGGTGAAGGCAGTCACTGCTACCTTCCACTGGCTTGAGAATCAGCTGTACACACAGGATGTGATTGTAACTGACTCACAGAGCATGTTGAGAAAGGTGGAAACAGGCATGCTCCGGAGCTTCATTTGGATATTCACTCCAGGTAATGCTGGTGTGGTGGGAAATGAGCATGCAGATAGACTGGCCGGCTCTGCACCACTTGGTGGTGAATTGATGTATGGCAAGTTAGATACCGTGAGAGTCCTCTGAGAGCGAGCCAACAGTGCCGAGGCACAGATAGATCATTACGAGCTAGGGAAAATGGCGCTGCGAGGAGTTACAAGGGGAATCTGGCCAGCGCTCAACACTCAAGGGATAGGCAAGACGCATATACAATCAGACAGTTACTGGTGCCATCAGAACTGCAACTCTTTGTTTCCTGCTGAAGGTGTGGACGGAGCACTAATGGGAGTGTCCCGAGTGCTGTGATATCGATTCTTTTTTCAACATTCATCATTTAGAGCGAGTATGGGAAAAACTGCTTGCTGTGATGCTGAAACCTGGACTACTACTATATGTCACATGTGACTCGCAGTCAATTTCTCTATTTTGTTCTATCCCCTGCAGTCTCTTCGATATCATTGAAAGAATCCAGTACAGCACCCTGGTCTCTCTCCTCGACATTTGTTTTATGGTTTCCCGTTTTAATGCCTGTTTGGAGATTCATTGTCTGTTTCCTCTCAGGATGGGACTGATACCTTTTTAAGAGCGAACAAAGTAGAAGAAGCAGAAGAAGAAGAAGAAAAAGAAGAAGAAGGGGAACAGAGGGATTGGGGGGTGTGGGTGTGGGGGATAGGAGAAGAATAACTCAAAACAGTGAGACTCCATATATGGATCCAAGCAATGATAATACTGTTTACACTTCACTGACCACCTTTCCCTTTTGTTGACCAAGCGTGTACACACCATCTTTGGCATACAGACTAATTCGATTTGTAATCAAATTTCTAGCAGTGTAATAATCAATAAAGTAATGACGCAAATAATAGGACTAGAGTTTTTTTTATTTTTTTATTATATGCCTCAGTGAACTTCAGGGTCGGATCGGCGGTTGTGGGGGCAAACAAATGACATCATTATGTCAGATATCGCGTGCCCCAGCGAGCACTCTGAAAACGATTATGCACACTTGAAAAGCCGCATCAGGGCTTCTCAAGCACTTAGGAGCGACATGGCTGCTTTATGTTAATCTCTCAAAATAAAGGGGCCAAAATTGACTAGTTGTGACATCATAATTTATCTTGGCATCTTGAAGAAGGTAGTTTGTGATGTATTCTTTCTTGGCGGTGCATGACAGAATCGATTGTCACTGTCAATGAACCGCAGATTCCAGCATCCTATACGGAAATTGTGTCGCCTTTGCTTCTAACAGAGTGATTCTGATATAGCGACTTCCCTCCTGATCAGAACCATCTCAACGAAGACTTCGTAAGAAAATGATGTGCTTTATTAAAATCCTACCACAAAAGGTCACGGGGCAGTCTAATATTTCAGGGGGTGGTAGATAGGCTGCATGCAGCCGTGGGACTTAGGCTGCACTTTCTCGGGGGACGTAGGTGGGTTGGGGTTAGGAAAAGTTCTAGATGTTTTGGGGTCGTTAAAGTCATCAGAAATCCGGGAAACCCAGTCTTACCACCATCTAAAATTGTTGACTGTTTTGTGATGTCATCTGGGGGTAGGATATTAATAAAGAACCGACAATTCAAACTTTCCCTCTGCCATATTCAAATACCAGCAGGGTGTGCAAGGCCGTTTCTGGAACTTGAAATGTAAGGAAAAGAACATAAAACGCTGCAGCACTGTTCAGACTGGGAGACCAGGCGATGGATATGTCAGACGATAAAGTGGTGGATAACGTTCTTGACTAGTGTTAGACATTGCCCGTGCCCTACGAGTGCTCCTGACTCTTTGCTGGGCTCCGTGTTTCCTTAAGTAATAATCCTTACTAATCACGAGAAATACATCAGCGAAGTTCAGGTAATCAAGCTGTCTTTTTCTTTTTTTAAAGTTTCCAGAAACCATGAGATATAAACCTGTTGGCTCGGTACTATGGATATCGCAACCCTTCGGCCTGGATTCCATGATAGATATCGTAAATCTGGCTTAAATGTGAGCGTGATTATCATCGCAGCACCCCGGACAGATCCATAGGTGCTCCGATCTCCTCCTCAAAATCTCCACAAGTGTAAAACGACTGATGACGCCTGTTCTGCGTTGGGTAATGAACCGTCTTGTCCCCTTAGTGAAATCTTCATTTCTTGTAGCTCCAGGCTGCACCCTCGTGTCCGTCAATCTAGACAGGGATACGGAAAAATGTCCTTCGGCTTGCTCTTTGGTATGGTAAGTACAGCGCGTGGCATTGATAACATTACTTCTGTCCAGTACTGGACCAACCATAGCAACCGAAGTGTCGGCAAGATACTCTGTACGCTGTTCCCTTGAACACTCGCATGACCTGTATTTCTCGTCTACCCCACACAGGAAATTAAACGCATGATCAATTAAGCATACTCGATGAGAGATCACAACAACGAGATCTAAAATCAATAAGAAAGACACATTTAATCAGAACAAACAAGGCAAACAGTAATCTAATTTCTCTTTGTGATATCCCACTTGAAAATGTTGGGTCAGACACTTATTTATGCAGTTAAATAAAAACAATAAAAGAGTCATTAAAATACACATTTAGAAAAAGGCGTGTGGAGTTTTCATAACACTAGGAATTTTGTGTCAGCCAAGGTAAATGAAAACTATTACTAAACTTAAAATTGTAAACTCTAATGAGAAACCATTATTGCCATATGGGGCTGAAATATGGAGAACAGTTTACTAATGAACTATAAAAAAAAAAAAAAATTATTTCTGCTTCAATATTTAATTAGGAATAGATATTTAAGCACTCTGGACATTCTCGCACTCGGGACATTCTCATAAGCGCTCCGTCCATATCTTCAGCAGCAAGCTGAGAGTTCCAGTTCCAATGGTAACAGTACCTGTCTGATTGTAAATTCGTCTCCCCTTTCCCTTGAGCGTTGAACGTCGCCAGATCCCCTGGTATCTTCTCACATCACCATTCTCCTCAGACCGTAAATGATCCATCTGTGCTTCCGCACTGTTCACTCACCCACAAAGGATCCTTATAACGTCTAGCTTGTTGTGTATCAATTCACTACCAAGTTATGCAGAACAAGCCAGGCTATCTGTTCATTTTCCCTTTCAGACACTCAGTGTACGCTATTGTGTCTGTTGGAGTCTACTCCGCCTATTTTCCATGTATACCCACCTAGTTTTCGCTTCCCGCCTGAGCGTTGGCGATAAATAGGCAAGTACCTATCCTATTCATCCTCTTGAACGAAGTTTTTCGCCAGGGACACAGAGGAGTGTATTTTAATTTGTACATTAGAGTCCTATGTAGTCACTTCATAGTTAGAGCAAATTTGTTTTTGTGTACTGTGTTGTTATTTATGTGCTGATGAAGGCTAATCGCCGCAACGTCCTTTTTTTATTATAATCGATTTTTAAAGCTAACATAAACTATTTGTCCTTTCTTACTCCCTTTTTCTTTTCCCTATAATTTCCTTTCCCTTTAAAAACTAATTTTCTAATTGCCGCCATCCCCCTGAAGAAAACACTCTACCTGGGACTTCGGAAGCGATGCTTGTCATTTTTCAGAGAACACACTGATCTCCACCTTTCTCAGCCTGCTCTGTGAGTCGGTTACAGTTACGACATGTATGTACAGCGGATTATCAAGCCAGAGGAAGGCTGCAGTGACTGGCCCTCCCCCTCCAGTCTCAAACTAGATGTTGTGTTGTCAAATGCCAGGCTTTGTTGCACTAAGAGATGTAGATTCGCTTTTGCTAAAATCCACATGAACTTATGAGCGAACTTTGACCCACCCTTTCCGCGCCCAAAATTATCAAGACTGCAAACGTGTCTAAATGGTGAGTTGAATAGTTTGATAGAATCACTAATTTGGTGCTAATTTCAGTGAATTAAGAGGTGAGAAAAAGACGCTTGCCGTTCAGAACGCAGCTTTCTCTGGATCTGGAGAAGGCATTGGTTAGGACATGCGTTAGTAAAACCTGACAAAAATATGACTTTAATGTCTTTAAACTGCAGCCCACACTGACATACACATAACGGTGGCTGAAAAGTTAAAACAGATAAGAGAGACATGAGGCGAGGTGCACGCGATAGCAAAGTATATAAAGACGGCGTAAGTTCGTTGAAGGTCTGTGCTGCAGAAGGGAATGAAGGGAAAGGGGGCGGGGGAGAGAATGAGAAAACAACTAACAGTCTTTTAAAAATCGTACTGTGTGAAAAAAAAAAAAAAAAGGGGGAATAAAAATCTGAACAACGATACAAATGGCAAGATAACATTCAGATATCAATGCAATCAATTGCGTTTCGTTGCTTTCTGTGTTGTTAACATTTTGATTTGACCACAACATCTAGGTTCACTTCCGGGTTACATACCTTTAGTTTCTGCTAATGATGCTTTTATTTTGAATTTAAGTTTGTGTTATTTGTATGACTGAGAGTTGCTAGGGCAAGAATACACACCGCAGGTGATACTTTTTTTGTCTGCCGAGAGTTTACATGCCAAGAAACAAAATGTCCTCTGGACGAACGATTCTATCCGCTGTGGCGTCCGATAGAGTGATAACGTCGTTCACACCGGTAAGTAGATATTACTAGGGCACTCTTCCGAATACTTTTTGTCTTTGAATAATATTAAGGGACCGTTATTCGGTAGAGTGCCAATATTTCTTTCAGCAGTTCTTTTCCAGTCTCCATGACTTCCGTGTTTGATTGTTTTTGTTTCCAGATCTACTCTTCTGTATTTCTACGTCTCCAGTTCTCCAGAGACTAGCAGATGTTCTGTACTGTCCAGCAGCTTTCCCTAGAGATTTTATTTGTATTAAAACAATCAAAATTGCACATGTGAACCAAACGAGGCAGTCTTCAGAGTGCCAGGCAAATGGTTTGACCACCTCGCTAAAAAAATTCCTGGTTCTTTTATTTCTCGGGGACTGATATTTCGTCATGGGAAATTCCTAGAAAAGTACAGTATTTTAGGGGTGGTTAGGGTCAGTGTTAGATGGTGTTCATTCAGTCCCTAACACCCTATCTATTGGACTTTCCAGGGAATTCCAGACAAAATCTCGGGAGTCCCTCACATGGGGTGAAATAAAATAAAAGAAGCAGATCTTTTACCTGATACAATTCTTATGAACTGATTAACTCTTTTAGTCCCAAGGAATGCATCATCATACACTCATAGCTTCCTACCTAGAAACGCAGAAGACAAATGATGTGCTGATTTTATGTCTCTCTCTTAACTCTTTGAGTTCCAAGGAACGCATCATAAGTTCATAGGTTCCTACCTAAAAGCCCAGTGAACGCATGATGCGCCAATTTTATGACTCTATTCACTACCCTTGGGCCTGTGATGATAAACCCCCTAGGGCTCAAAGAGTTAAGTACCCCTTGGGCCTCTAACACTAAACTCATGTCATGATGTGTCATCCCTATATTATGTTATGTCTATGTTATTTTAATGTTATGTCAATGTTATTATATATTATATCTATGTTATGTTATGCCTGTCTATGTTATACTATGTTATGTTATATCATGTTAACTTATCACAATCAATGTCACTGCACATTGGGCATTCCCATGCCTGCTCAGTCCACCGATGCAGCAGCCACTCCAAGGTACTTCTACTTATTGTTCCCATGAGAAGATGGTTATAATGTCTCCTATCTTAGCCTCAAAGTCGGCATAGATGTGCGTCATCAGGCTTTACTTCCAAGTCGCGCAGTCATGTTAGTGTCAAATATTCGTCATTATCCACAAGCCCAGTCCGTGCTTCTTCCCTCATGCCTTGATGCATTTCTTGCCAGTTGGTCCGCTTGCTCATTACCTTTTATACCCACATGACCAGGTATGTAGATCCAGATGAGGGAGGTTAAATGCTATTTTCGAATGCTTTCAGAGCGCATACCACCTGTTGCTATCTTCTGAAGCTACATGTGGCGTTACATGTTTCTGCCTGTCCCTAATAAAGTTTCAATTGTTACAGGCATATAATGCAGCAGCCACACCATATCAGAAGTGCAACTTTCATCCAAAGGTCAAGGCAGCATGTGCTGAAAACAGAACTGGCCGTGTGGGGTATGGGCATATACTTACTGGTTTTTAAAATTGTTTAGGGGGCTGCTTGGTCTCTGGGTAGTGAGATCGGATGCCCGTGTGTGTTGTTGCGCATGCAAAACAATTCCTTGGCATTTGGAAATAGAAAAGAGTAGCCTAATGGCACTGCCTCTGCAAAATTTGGAGTTAAAAATAAACCCAAGGTATTTCAGGATCCTTGCCGGAGCTACAAAGCTTGTGCACTGTGCTGCGCTTCTTCCGACTGAGACTTGAGTTAGAAGAAGAACAGAGCACTTATGGGTTACTACCCTTGTGCCATGATGTTGATCTGTTGTTCAAACCTCAAACCTTATAATTGTTTGTATAGTAGTAGTAATTTTCAGAGAGAAGTTCTGTTCAACCCTAAGGATTGTTATTGGGATATAAAGTGTTCATTTAGTTTTTAGCATATTGTTTTTGCTATTTTATATATCTAATTATAAGATCTTTCTGACATTTATGCAAATTCAAAATTAAACTCTGGGTGATAAGGTTAATTGTTACTTACAAACTATTGTTAGTGTTCAAGCCTTAGCCCAAAATAAAAATTTTCGAAATCATTACCTGTTTGGATTAAAATATAAGTTATTGAAAAATGTATGAGGGTGCTTCAGATTCAGTGCAGCAAGTGTAAGAGTGGCAGAGTAGGAAGTTTGTGTGACTTCTGTGACTGACTGACTGACTGTTCTCGACTGGGTCAGGCACACCAAGTTGATTGCAGTCGTTGAGGACCTCATACAAGAAAACTGCTAATTGTTAGACTGACGGCATGCATCACTGTACTGGACCTTCATTCGCCGAGGAATTTCTTTAGGTTTAACCCTTTTACTTATTTTTAAAAAAAATGGATAACAGTACACTGCTCCTTATTGATGCGTGTCAAAAGTGGGGCGATCAGTTTTGAACTTTCATTATAACATGAGGGTCTTCGTCTGAACTGTGGTTTCACATGCTTAACACTCTTTCTACAGGTAGCTAATAAATTGTTAAAAATGTATTTTTCTATATTTAAAAAATGTATATACAGATATGTAAAGGGAGTAATCAATAAACAAGAACAAAGTGAAGCATTAAATGAAATGCTTTCCATAAAAGCAAAGAGTACCAATAAAAGCACACAGTACTGACAAAAGCACACAGTACTCACAAAAGCTCACAGTACTCACAAAAGCACACAGTACTCACAGAAGCACATAGTACTCACAAAAGCACTTAGTACTCACAAAAAGCTTACAGTAATAATAAAAGCATGCAGTACTCATAAAAGCACACATCATAAAAGCACACAGTACTCATAAAAGCACACAGTACTCATAGAAGCACATAGTACTCAGAAAGCACAAAATACCCACAAAAGCACACAGTAATAATAAAAGCATGCAGTACTAATAAAAGCACACAGTAATCATAGAAGTACATAGTGCCCATAAAAGCGCAGTACTCACAAAATTTTATAGTGTGCAGCATTTGGGGCAAAGGCAAGTCGAGAAAGAAAAATGGACAGAACAAAATATAATGTATGATTTCACTTATTTTGTTTTGCCACCTGCAGTTGAATTCTTTTGTCCTTGGGAACTTTTCGATATTTCTAGATTGAAGATAACAAAAGGAGTGCTTGTTGGAGATACGGCTGTAGGGAAAACCAGCTTAGTCAACAGGTAAATGGTCTACATCTGTCATCTCGTCTTGTTTTTTTTTTCCTCGTTTGGATTGTAAAACCAACCCCACCATTTTATGGCTGTTGTGGTTTTTCTAGGCAAATATAAAGTCCAGTAGTTTGCCATTGCTTCTTAATGGTCAACTCTCAGTATCGCTGTCAAAACCAGCACAAGACAAACCGTCCGCAGCTGGGATTGAACCCGGCAGCATGAAGCGCGTTCGCAAAACCTAAGCCACAGACACTGACTTTATTTGGGTAAAGAATCAATATCACAGCATACAGGACAAGCCCATATTAGCTCCATCTCTCTCCAAAACAACGAGCGGAGAACTGATGGACTAATGGTATACCTCTTATCTGGTGGGTGGTGAGTGCATCTTGCTTTTTCCCAGAGTCTTGAGTGGTGGTCAGAGCCCACAGACACTTGGCTTTGTCGTGTACACTGCAAGGTGGAGGTGCTTTATAAAAAAAATGGAGTATTGCATGTTTGTGCACTTTTTGCGGGGGGTGGGGAGTGGGGGGCGAAAAGGCAGTCCCCAAATTCTCAATCAGTTGACCTCACCTTGGTCCTCTTGGATGTTACTGTCAAACTGAAGAGTAAACAGCAGACAATTGTGTGTTTCATCATGGACTCTATTATCCCAACCCCCCCTTTCCATTCTTTACATAGTCAGCCTCTCTTCCAGTTTCCACTTGGTCTGTACATCATTGCTTGTTGTGGTATACTGTCTGCTGGCAGCCAAGCTTAATGGCCGAACCATTTTATCTGTTGTTTTATAATGAAATCTCTCACTTTCTTTCAGATATATCTTTGTTCTTGAACTGGTTGATTGTTAGCATTTGACTTTTGCATTTTTGTTTGTCTATTTTATAAACATATTACATCAGAGTTATTACAAAGGGATCTGAAAAACCTGATGGTTCTTATTGGCTTATAATATGCCACCTAAGTAGTGTTGATAATGAAAGTTGCGACTACTTGTGTCAAAATATAGTAGAAAATTTTTACAGTTCAGTCTTATATAGGTAGTACATGAGACAAAACCTTTACAATGTTGGACATTTATGTAAATATATTCCCAAATTTTCTCTGATCTGTGTTTATTTTATAATTCTTGTGTATGGGTATTTCATTGACAGTCGTGTCTGTTAACTCTTTGAGTCCCAAGTAACGTATCATACATTTATAGGTTCCTAACTAGAAGCCCAATGAACGCAAGATGCGCTGATTTTACGTCTCTTTTGACTACCCCTTGGGCCTCTGATGCTAAACTCCCTGGGACTCAAAGAGTTAACAGCCTTCTGTCTCACATACTGCCAGTAATTTCTGCTGTATGTCTTTTGTGTGTGTATAATTAAGAATGCACTTTTACTTCATAATTTTTGCAACTATATTTCCACTATTCTGGTCATTTCAGATTTTGCAATGATGTATTTGATAGAGACTACAAAGCCACAATTGGTGTTGACTTTGAAGTTGAAAAGTTCAGTGTCCTTTCAGTGCCAATCACTTTACAAATGTGAGAACGTTTGTTTAAGATCTATGCTCTGTTTATTTTGTCGTCCATATATTTGTAATTTTCTGTGTTTATTTATTGTAGTTGCACATTTATTTGTAGTTGTACACAAAATGGCAGCTGATAAATTTGCTGTTCATACACAATTTTTGCTTCAAATGCCAGACATGGATAGTTGTAGAAAAAAAAAAAAAATAAGAGGAGACAGACTCAGCAATGAAAAGCTAAGAACAGTGGTAGGAACAGTACAGGTAACTGATTTCTTAGAGCATTAAAGATAATCTTGGTAACCTTAGTTTCAGCTTCATAGCAAACAGGTCACCCCATAGTTTCTCCTCTCCTATGCCAATGAAAAATACTCAGAATGTTCGTCACAGTCCCTTGTGGAAAGATTGACAGACTGCTGTCTCAGCATATGCACTAGCATACACACGCATTAAAAGCATACGACATTAGGCTAGATAGCTGGTATCAGTGAGATGACAAAAGAAGGAGAAAAATGATGTTATTTTAACTTCTTTGTCTTGTAGTTGTGTTAGCTAATCTCATGAAGACCCAAGATTGTCTCTATAATTTACACGCATGTTAGAACATAATCCACCCTAATATAGGACATAATCCTTCTTTTTTTAAAGCTTGACCCCAGCTGTTTTTGGGATTTCTAATATAACCGAACGGTTGAACGGGGTTTCTGTGTCTTGTGCCCAGGGGAATTCTCAACCGAATGGTGGCACTTTGTGTCACTGGGTTATATTGCTCGTCGTGAGGTCCTAGTTGCGTTGAACCTCGCTTATTCAACAACAACAACTGTCTGGCACTGAGCAAGTTGACTCATTTAGGAGCAGAAGTGGCTTTGGTTCGAAAGTCTTGTGTGTGCTCCATTTGTATTTAGTGATTATTTAACTCGACTAGTTAGTCGGCTTTCCAACATACTTGATGGTGGGAGCTCTGTTTATTTTTTTTTCCTCGCGCCAAAATGAAGTTCTGGAGCCTACACAGGGAGTTTTTATGATTCGACCCATTTATACTTTCTGTTTCAGCTGGGACACGGCGGGTCAGGAAAGGTTCAAGTGCATAGCGGCATCATATTACAGAGGAGCACAAAGTAAGAAATGTCCTGACTTCTTGTTCATCGCTGGGGGAAAATTCCTCATATAAAATTCATGTCAGTGATCACTGTCACATTTCACCGGTCATAAAGGGGAAAGTAAAGAGCAGATTCTACTTCTTCTCCATCATTCCAAGCCCTTAGGGGGCTGCGTGGTCTTGACGGATGGTGTCCGCCTCGAGTGCTAGAGGTTCCGGGTTTAATCCCCAGTAAGAGCTGGGATTTTGTCACATGGACATGGACTTCTAGTAACTCCCCTTGGTCTCTGGGTAGTGAGATCGGACGCCCGTGTGTATTGTTGCGCACATAAGTCTGCAGATATTACCCACCTCCTTTCATCTCTGTGGTTGCCCTTCTCTTTCCAGTTGGTGAGACCAAGTGTTTGTAGGTCTGTCTGGATATTATCTCTCCATCGACTTCTTGGTCTGCCTCATGGTCTACGACCCTTGTGTACACCGTTTTTACCTCTCTGTCATCTGACATTCTCTTAGTATGCCCCAACCATTCAAGACTTTTAGCTCTCATTATGCCAGTGATCAGTGGTGATATAAAAAACAGATTACTTAGCAACAATTGGGAGCAGTACAGGATAACCACACTCTGGAGAACAGTAAAACCTAGATTAAGACATCCATTATATCTGAGTTCCTCAACATTGTATGCACTCACCCCCCACAAAAACAGGAGAAATTGTTCACAGCACACCTGAAAGCTAACCAAATACACAAACAAAAATAATTCTAGATAGCGCTTTTACTTGTTAAAGCCGATGTCACAAAATTGCAACATTTGCTGCTGGTTAGATGCATAAAAATCTTATTTATGTGGCTGGAGCATTGCTTGTGATAAACAAAATGCTACAGTAACATCCATTTGATGTCTCTGTTGTTATTTTTTTAATTATTGACATGCCCGCATTTCATACAAATAGGAAGAGACAAACCACCTATCTCCTGCCTGGTTACCTGATTACGCAGAATGTTTTAGTGACCCAACAGGACTTTTACACAGCCCACAGTTTGAAGAACACTGCATTAGATCACACGGGAGTACTGCCAATCCAAAACACAATCTGAAAACCAGTCTGGGAAAATGGAAGGAAGAAGACTAGTCAGTTGTTTCTATCATAACCAGGCCTTTCAAAAACATCATGCATTTTGCCAGAGGATATGAGTGTTTGTATCTTCCCATAGTTCTTGCCAGAGGACATGAGTGTTTGTATCTTCCCATAGTTCTTGTTCCTTGCTATTGATCATCCAGATATGTGTTCTAGGGCCAAGTTTTGGGTGAAGATAATGGGCCCACTGCCTCTTGAAATATATGTCATTAAAAGGCAGCTAATTGAGGTTTTCTGAAATCACTTGTTTAAGTTTTTTAAAAAGCAGAGATATCACAGCCTTGCTGTAAACCACAACTCTCTGAGCCAACTGTCCTGTTAAGATTGAAAGAAGAAGAAGGAATTCATTATCAGTTATCTAATAATATCCTTTTGAGCCACCATCTTAGATAATCCAGCTTCCTTATTCTTGTCTGTGTCTGCTTATTCTACCACTGACCTTTCCTGTAGTCATACTTTTCCCCCATTACGCTTCAGTCGTATAGGTAGAGAACACTGTCTCATTCTTCACACTGAATGGTCTCATAGACTTGGCCTCCGTATCTCTCTTTCACCAATTGTTATAGCACACTTACTGTCAAGCCCATTAACACATGCACTTTCCCGGATACTGCATATTCCTAGTTGTGTACTAAAAATGTCATAGTTTCACAACCGTTTTAAATAAACTAATTTTTTTTTTTTTTTTAAATGAAAACAATTTTCAAGGGCATTAATTGCATAATCTTTTGTTTTGCGTCATCAGCATATGGCAATAGATTGGTGCACAAAAGAGCAACCGAAAAAAAAATCTTTTATTTGTCAGCTGTATAGTCATTTTGGCCTAAAATGGGTACCAGGATGGGCTGTCCTGGGAAAGTAAAGACAGCCGGCGTAATGCTGACCACATTACCCACCGAGTGCTGATGGTCTGTAAAAATATGGGACCCTCTGCCCATATGCCCGATGCGCCGAAAGACGTGAAAAGGGATCTTAACTAACTTAACTAATAGTCATTTTGTGTGTGCTGAAATAATCCTGGGTGGGAGCTCTCCCTAAATGAAATTAAATTTTGCAATTGCAATAGCTGTTTGCCAATTTTTGCTACAAATTTGTAATGCAGTATATGACTGAATTATTAAAAGGCCACAAGAACGATCTGTTCCCAAACAGCCCATAACAGGAATTACACTAGCAGATACATCTGACAATACACACCTGAAGCACATACACAAATAAGCCACTGATAAGCAAAATGTTGTCTTTTCAGTTTCATGTTTTTTTTTTTTAAATGTCACATCATAAGAATGATAAAAGTAACAGTAATAAAATGGTTCAGAAATATCTTCATCTTCACTTTCCGATTTAAAAAATCAAGATTATATATTGTTATCATTGTGCTATTTTACGATTGGCTGCCATTATAAAAATATCCATCTATTATGTTACTGACATGGGAGCTCAGTAATAAAAAGTTGTAGTAGTAGTAGTAGTAGATTTTACGCCACCAGGACATCACACAGGCGATAAACACCAGAAAACTGGAAACCGTGTTTGGCCATTAGACCATATTTATGGCCGGGCTATATTGAGGGCCCTGGAAAAAGCCAGAGTAGGGCTTCAAAATAATAAAAGGTTGCATCCCACAAGGGGATGACTGGTTTACATTTAACAAACAAAAAAAAAAAGTTGTGAAAATTTTACTTTAAGCACCACAGACTTGTTTCCCTTAAGGATGCATAAAGAAAAATGAATGGATTAACAGTTTTAGCTATATTGATCGCTTACAGCGTGATTTTGAATGACGACGAGTGTCCAGAGTTAGGGATGCCAACTTTTTGGGGGGGCCAAGGAGTATGTATAAGTATCTTTTTTTTTAACCAGGTCGGCTCTGTGGCTAAGTCGATGCGAACGTTTCATAATGCCGGGAAGCCCAGGTTCGATCCCAGCTGCAGGCCATGCGCCTTGCGTTGGTTTCGACAGTGGTTTCAAGAAAGCCGACTGTCCAGAAAGCAATGGCAAACTACTGGACGTAAATTTGCCTAGAAAAACCACACAGCAGCCAGGGGCTGTTAGGGTTAGTTCTGCAACGGGATACGCAACTAACCTAGTATGAATAGCTATCATCTTTCTTTGGCAGAGTACTATGTATAAGTAATCTTTCTTTGACCATCACGATCTATAATTATCTTTCTTTGCCAAGTAGTATGTATATTTATCTTTCTTTGACCATCACTTTGTATAGTTATCTTTCTTTGACCATCAGGATCTATAATTATCTTTCTTTGCCAAGTAGTATGTATAGTTATCTTTCTTTGACCATCACTTTGTATAGTTATCTTTCTTTGACCATCACTTTGTATAGTTATCTTTCTTTGACCATCACTTTGTATAGTTATCTTTCTTTGACCATCACTTTGTATAGTTATCTTTCTTTGACCATCACTTTGTATAGTTATCTTTCTTTGACCATCACTTTGTAAAGGTTATCTTTCTTTGGCCAAGTAGTATTACTGTTAACCTAAGTGACATTCAACCCCACTAGGATTTGCACATTGAGCAGTAAACACCTGGTGACACAAAGTGCCACCAATCGGATGAGGATCACCCACATACATAGTCCCAGAAACCCCAGTCAAACATTACGTTATATTGGGATCCCCTAACTGCAGCCGGGATGGGGGGCTTTGAAAAAACGAAAAATTTTTAGTCCCTCACTGTGACATAAAGTATACAATAAATAGTTATCCTTCTTTGACCATTAGTTTGTATGGTTATCTTTCTTTCACCAGTTGTTACACTTGACTGTTTCCTATAATTGTTTTTACTTTAGCCAGTCGGTATGTATAGTCAACTTTAATTTATCATTTAGTGTGTATAGCTTCCTTTCATTGACCAGTAAATATATGTAATCTTTCATTCACCAGTAAAAATGTATGTAATCTTTCATTGACTAGTAAATGTATGTAGTTATCTTTCTTTGACCAGTATGTATAGCTATTTTTTTGGGGGGGCTGGTCAAATTTATTTCTCCTTTGCCAGTTGTTATAGTTGTCTTTGACTTGACGGATGAGGAGTCCTTGCATCACACAGTCAAGTGGATGGAAGAAGCATGTCAAAGTGCAGACAGTCCTGTAAAGTTTCTAGTCGGCACCAAAAAGGATTTACTTGTGAGTATGTTTAATAATTTCACTGTCACTTTAATGTTTTGTAGAAGTCATGTGGGTCCATTTTACATTTTGTCCCCCAGAAAGAGAGTGACTTTCCTTGCCATTCATAACCCATCGGGTTGTAGGACCTCTCTTATTTTGCGGGGTGTTATGATATGACTATGTTTGGCGTTCGCCCGCTGTATATGTTTGTGGGAGGTTGTGTTGCCGTGAGTCTTTTTCAGGCACCCCAGGCACCTGTGTACAAGTAAGAAACATTGCAGTGGGAAGTGTCACAGGCGTGATGATGTTTAAATATTAAACTGGAATATTTTTGTATTTCTACGTTCATTGGCGGTGGCTTCCCTCTGAGAGAAAGACAGCACTTACAAGGAACATAGCGATAGAAAAATATTGCTGTTTGCATACTCCCAAACTGTCGTGTAGGTAGCAGAACATAATAATAATCACCCATGCGAGCGGTGAGAAAAGAGGGAACGGTTAAAGCTTTGACAATAAGGAAAATGAGACGCCCCAGAAATGGGACTCCCAATGATGTTATGAATGGCAAGGGAAGGCGCCCGAAAACGTAAATAGGACCGTCTTATGTTTTGATATCCTGCTCAGCCTTACATGCACAGTCCTCCCACGCAGCGTCCCTTGCAAGGTAGCCCTGCTGACTGTTCCTGTTTGAATTTGATTATAATGTCAGAGACTTGTAATTCATCAGTTTAGTCTGAAGAGCCTTAATTACATCATGTCCATGCTTCTTCCTGCTTATATACTAATCTTAGTTGCTAGTTGGATCGGAAGGTCGTGGGCTTCGGTTCTGACGGAGCAGAACTTTTTAAAAACAAGAATTACTTCATCTTCCAGCTTTGAGTGGGTACCAGGTGCAATCCTGGGAGGTAAAGGTGGCCGGTGTGATGCTGACCACATCACCCACAAAGTGCTGTTTGGTCTGTAAAATAGATCTAGCCCTATATTTACAAGGAAAAGATGTTTTACTGTTTTTTTTTCCCCAGCTGCTATTTAGCTTGTTCAGAAATCAGTTCCATTTCACTGGGGTTATTGTTCTTTGTGGGTCATGTTCTTGTGAAATCTGAAAGAGTTAATGGTGATTGAATGTAGTAAAACAACTATATTGTGTGTGATTTGGGCAACTCTTATCTGTAACTTGGGACATACTGTAACATGGAAGTAGATCTATATTTTTATAGACCAATTGGCAGTAGTGGCGGAAGTGGTCAGTGTCACGTACTTACTAATAGGACATTTCTTGGTAGCCATTTTAGGGTTGCTCAGCCTGACAGTCGAGGTCAGTTTGAAAAATCTATCTTGATAAAGTTTTCAGCTTAGGGTTATTGGTCATACTTTATTGTGACTTCACTAGCTATGTGAAGCAGTGAATTGATCTGTGAATGTTAACTTGGGCAACAAATACCTGCAGAATTCGGATGTGTTGGGTGAAGGTGCAACTGTAGCAGCTGTGTTGTAAACGGGCTGCGTAAGAAGAAGCAGAAGAATCAGATAGTTGGTCAGTTAATCAGGAGCTGTCTCCACAGTGAAGGTGGGCTGCAATGGATTTACAGAATGCTATGTCTTTCGTCTTGGTTGTACACTCTCTCAGGCGGCTTTTTGATCCTCTCTGGATGTTGTCCTCCCACTTGTATCATTGTCTACCTCTTGCTGCCTTGCCATCGACATTTTCCTCCAGCATAGTTTCTAAAAAAGTATTGTCTTTTAATGTCGCCAGATATTTCAGTTGTCTTTTTAACATTTCTTTCAGTAAATCTTTGCTGTTCTACACCACCCTAAAAAAAGGTGAAGTTTGAAGAACGGATCAATATCATGGCACACAAGTAGTAACCCATAAGTTCTCCGTTCTTCTTCTAACTTAAGTCTGAGTCTGAAGAAGCTCAGCACTTTGCACAGGCTCTGTAGCACCGGCGAGGATCCTGAAATACTTTGGGTAGATTTTTTTAAACTCCAAATTTTGCTCGGGCAGCGCCGCTAGGCTACTCTTCAATCTCCCTCTGCGCAAAAATACACACGGGCGTCCGATCTCACTAACCAGAGACCAGGGGGAATTACTAGAAGTCCAAATCAACGTGAAAAATTCCCAGCCCTTTCTCTACCATGCCTCGAGACTAGGTGATATGTTGGGCAGGATTTTTATGTGTGTGTGTGGGTGAATTTCTTTTTCTTCTTCTTTTTCTTTTTTGTTCACCGCTTGTAAGCTCTGGCAGAAAGTTCTGGTTGTTCGTCAACTTCTGGACTCTAGTCTTATTCCAGAATTCTACTTTTGCGTGCACATCCATTTTACAGACCTGGCGAAATTGAATGTAGACTGTTGGTCGATTGCTTCTCAGACACATGCACTCCAACTTTTAAAGAAACACATCTAATTAGTTGACTTATGTGACTTGCTTGTTAGGGGGGGCAGTGGGTCAATCCTCCCCCCCCCCCCATGGGGTCCAAGAACCCACACAGGGAATTTGTAAAATTTGATATGTTCAGCATACAATGTGTTATATGAAATCTGTTACATTGGATGTGTTCGCTAGTCCCCAGCAGCCTACGCTGACATTGAGCAGAGAGCTGTTAAATATTCTCAAAGAATGGAAGCAGAATTCTGGGCCACATCTTCCAAAACAGGTATGAGGTGTCTTCTCTTTCTCCTCCTCCTCCCTCTTCTTCCATCTCCTCCACCCTTATTTTCTTTTTTTTCCTTCTTCTTCCTTCTTTTTTCTCCTCCTCCTTTCTCTTCCTTTTCTTCTTCCTCCTCGTCATGTTCTTCTTCTATTAGTGGCTTATGTTTTGATTCTTACACTCGGTGGCTGCTGCATTTTTCTCCACTTGTCGCTCCGCTACTGATATAAGTGCAGGGAATGACACTGTGAGATGCATATTTCATTTGTAATGTTTGTCGGCATTGACCAAGTGTTGTTGTGATGTGTAGATTCAGAATATGGTGCATGGCTTGTTTCCACAGAACTGATGGTGTCTTATGTGATTAAAACTGATCACATGTGCAACGTCTAATCTGTTTGAGGCTACTCCGTCGATGATGAACTGCTTTTCTAATGTCAGACTGTTTGTGTTAGCATTTCTGATGGCTGCCTTATGCTTTCAATGCGTGTGTATATTGGTGGACATGCTGAGACTGCAATCTGTGTCAATTCTTTTTACAAGGGACAGTGATGGACATTTTGTGTGTTTTTCATTGGCACAGGAGAGGAACAACTCTGGGGTGACCCGTTTGCTATGAAGCTGAAACTAAGATTAGCAGATTACCAGAAAACTGTATACAACTATAAGAAAGATGTAGTCAGTGATGTTTGGTCATGGTGATTTACAAAAAATATATATATTGGAGAACATTGTGATGACCTGAAGTATCAAACTGTAGAAGAAGAAGAAGACTAAGAGATGATGATGCTTGATGGCCTGAAGCAATGGCATGGTGGAATATCGTTTGTGGAATTGATTCAAAATACCAAGGACTATGATCTGTGGAGAAACATGGCACTGGACAGGGCACATGATAACGATGAGGAAGTTTTCTTCTTTGTTGCCAATTGTTACATATTTGTTCTGCGATATTTGGTTTCTTTTGTGACAATAAGATGTATGCCTCTGTCACCTGGATCTCTACACCTGGGTATGATGATGAGAAAGGTAATGAACATGCAGAACAGCTGGCAAGCAGAGCACCAACACACGTGGTAAGGAGCATGGACAAAGCCAATATGATCAACACTGTATGGACTAGGTTAGTTGATAATGGTGGATCTCTGATGCTAACACGAATGTGTGACATGGGAGTAAAGCGGGGTGAAGTACCCCCATGCCGCCTTTGAAGATAGTAGAGAGATAGCAGACATTATAACCAGCTTCTCAATCAGTATCATAAATCCTAGAGATCAATTAAAACAACCAAACGGTGCTGTGGACAGCAGCAGTCTGTCATTTCACAATGCATGATCTAAGAGTATTGCAGTAGCCTGCAGTGTTTGCATTTGTGTGCCTAAAATACCAATTATTAAACATCAGTTAAAAGTATATAAGGTAATTGCAGTTCCAAATTTACAGCCACCAGGTCACCCTATATGTACTGCTTTTCAGTGTCAACTAAACCCACACAGAATACACATCATTGCCCTTGGTGAAAAAAAATTAGCACAGAGTACACAAACATTCAGTGCATTAGGCAGCTGCCGGAAGTGCCAACACAAGCAGTCCAGCACAAGAACTGCACTTCATTTTCAGTGTAAGCAGCAGTTACAACAAATCAGTAGTTGCATACACAATCAATTGCATAAGGCACCATCGATGCTGTTAACAAGCTACTCATCATTTTCTGAATTTGCAGTTCACAACACAAACTATGTTGGGCCCATTCAATAAGCATTCCAAATATCTGCCGCTAAGTTTAGTTCCAGGCATTCAGCTCAGTAGCTAGGTGATGGAAATGTATACTTTTAGTTCACATGTAAGAACAAAAAAAAATTTTTTTAACCAAAGCCTGAAGCAGTAAACTTGCCATAACTAAACCCTATAAGCCTGCCTATCTGCTGTATTGACCCTGAAGTTTCAGTATCTATATATGTGTACTATATATTAAGTTCAGGGCATTTACTTAGAGTACAAATGTGAATAAGGAATTAAGTCAGACAGAACTGAATGTAATGTTGATTTGATTTATTTTTTGTTATACAGGTGAAAATATTCAAGATTTCTTCTTTCGGGCGGTGTGTTTGTCTTTTGATGCGTCCTTGCTGAGAGAGCTGAATACAGATAGCTCTGCATCTAAACAGATTGGCAGTGACTTGATAAGTAAGTCATTGCCTTGTTTTGATGTCTTGTTTTGAAAAAAAAAAAAAAGAAACAAGCAGGTGTGGTACCAATTTTTGCTTTTACTAAAAGCCAACCAGTAAAGAGCACTGTGCTCTCATGACCCAGATTCAAATTCTTGGTAATGTGATGGATTTTGTCTCCATGGCGACTGCACTAGCCATGTGGCCTTAAATCCTCAGCTTAAATACCCCCCTCCCCCTCCTCCTAGCATTTTTTTGGCTGTTGTTGTTTTTCTAGGCAAATTTACATCCAGTAGTTTGCCATTGCTTTCTGGACAGTCGGCTTCTCGATACCACTGTCGAAACCAACGCAAGGCGCATCTACCAGGTATGCCCTTTGTCATGTCAGTTCCTCATTTTCCGTATATAAGGCAATTTTCTAGATTGCAGTGCATGAAGTGCCACTCTTGCACCTGTCAGAAAGCTTGGATATCTAAAGGGGATGCAGAGTTGCTGAACCATACATTAAGGTGATGCACCAAGTCCAGGGCTGCTACTCATCAAGACCTGTCTACATCTTCCTACAGTCAACATAGAGAGAGGAGGGGGCTGAGTGGTCTCGAGGCATGGCGTCCACCTTGAATGCTGGAGGTCCTGGGTTCACACCCCAGTGAAGGCTGTGGATTCTTTCATGTTGACTTCTAGTAATTTTGCCGGGTCTCTGGGTAGTAAGATCGGATGCCCGTGTGTATTGTTGTGCATGTAAACAATCTTTGGCCGTTGGAAATCGGAAAGAGTAGCCTAACGGCGCTGCCTGGGCAAAATTTGTAGTTAAAAATCTGCTTAAAGTATTTCAGGATCTTTGCGGGTACTGCGCTGAGAGACTCAGGCTTGAGTTATAAGTAGAATGGAGGACTTATTAGTTACTACCCTTGTGCTATGATGTTGATCCATTGTATAAATCTTAAAACCTAGAAAGAGTTTCTCAGTCAGAGGCCTGGCCAGTGTAGATTGAATATTTGTTTCCTTTGAAGTCACATCTGCTTGATCGGCAAAGAACCAACAATATGCACACCCCGGAGGATGCGGCTGTCCTCCTCCTCACTTTACCCAACACTCCAAGTGTTTTAAAATACAGAAGCAAAGAGAAATGGAAATGGACAGAAATTAAAACAGAAATACTGAGAAATGGGGACAACTGAAAACATATGTAGAGGGAATTGGTATTTTATTCAATTCTGTTTTCCTATTTCAGATATCCAGCGATCAGAATCTGATTTGTATGAGAAACGGAAAAAACAAGTTCAGTGTTGTTCCTAGTCTGGCCATCTTAATGTCTCCACATTCCATACATTTGTTACCATCTAGTTACTGATGCAAGCAATAGGACAAGTGTCTATTCAGTCTTTTTTGTTTTATTTTGGTCAGCATTCATGTTTTCTCTGATAATGGTGTTAGTGAATGCATTTCTATGTTGTATCAAATAAAAACAAATATAGTCATAGTAGTTTATCTGATCTCTTGATACAGTTAGTTACAATATTATATCATATACCTGGATGCAAGTAGTTGTAGCATTGTATCAGATATTGGGATACAAGTACTTATAACATTATATGACATTTATATATATATATATATATATTAAATTTCTAACCTGCGGTATAGCATTCTATGAGAAGTCTGGATATATGTAGTTATTAGGGCTGTACCGAATAGTGATTTTCACTATTCGGCTGAATACGAATAGCGGGACCAACTATTCGGCCGAATACGAATAGTGTATCGTCAGCATCAGGCACCCTGCCGACTAGCATGTGCGATTATGCCTCGCCACAATCTGCGATCTTCTGCAGCATGTATTAGTTCATGTTCTGACACGCATCCATGCCATGCAACAAGGCTGTCAAGAATCTTCTATCTTTGTCTTCCTCTATCCCTCCTTCCACAGATCTTTCCAGTGGTCACCACATGTTCCATTTTCCCTCTACTCATAACATGACAGAAAAATGATTAGTGTCTCCTTTTGATGTCTGTGATTAGTTGTCTTCAGGCTCCCGCCTCTTTCAAAACCATCATTCGCTCGGCCGTTTGTTCGATGTAATTTAAATGCACCTTCACATGCTCGTTAGCAATATCTTCAAATTTGATTATGGCAAAGACACCCTAAAAAAACAAAAAAAATCATGATCTTTCTCTCTCTCTCTCTCTCTCTCTCTCTCTCTCTCTCTCTCTCTCTCTCTCTCTCTCTCTCTCTCTCTCTCTCTCTCTCTGTCTCTCTCTCTCTCTCTCTCACACTCAGAGACACACACACACACTCACACACACAAACAACAACAAAAATAACGCATTGCCTTTAAATATAAGTGCTCTCTTGAGGAGGCTAACAGTTACTATTGTACAGACCACATTCTCCATTTTAAAATTTCAGCCAAAATGTAATCACAGCCTTACTTATCCGCTGCACCTTCACAAATACAGATGGAGAATCGGTTGCACCTCGAGATAAATACAAAGACAATTTTTTGCACGCTGTGGTTGGCATTTTATGCAGAATGATACACTTTGAGTTTGAAACAAAAGAAAACAAAAAACTCCTTTCGACAGGGGCGAGGAAAGACAATTTTAACTTTTAAGCATCTTCATGCCTTCTTTAATAATGTCACAGTTTATAGCCGACTTTTCTTGATTTTCGCCGCGGCACCCCTGGCATACGCACTCAGTTTGAGAACCTCTGCTGCAATGTCTCGTTCGAGTCAGCAGGCAAAGAACTTTCCAGCTGCTATAGCGCGCAACCGGGTAGCAGTTTCCCCCCGCTACGACAGACTTAGGCAACAGCAACAATTGTGTTGATGAGAGAGTTATTTCAGTCAATTGCAGTGTATGCAGAAACGGGTGTAAGGTAACCACAATTCGTATTTGGCCCGACCTCAAGTATTTGGCCGAATACCGAATAGTTATTAGGTCCACTATTCGGTCCCAAAGCGAATATGAAGCGAATATTCGGTACAGCCCTAATAGTTATAGCATTGTATCAAATATCTGGATACAAGTGGTCCTATCATTATGAAATATTAGGATACAAGTTGTCCTATCATTATGAAATATTAGGATTCATGTAGTCCTATCATTATGAAATATTAGGATACAAGTAGTCCTATCATTATAAAATATTAGGATACAAGTGGTCCTATCATTATAAAATATTAGGATACAAGTAGTCCTATCATTATGAAATATTAGGATACAAGTGGTCCTATCATTATAAAATATTAGGATACAAGTGGTCCTATCATTATAAAATATTAGGATACAAGTGGTCCTATCATTATAAAATATTAGGATACAAGTGGTCCTATCATTAGGAAATACTAGGATACAAATAGTCCTATCATTTTACCCGATATCTAGATGCAGTTAGTTATAGCATTTATTGTACGAAATGTTTAATATGACACTGTTATGTTCTCATCATTGGTGAAATATATTTTGGTTGGTTCATCAATTCAGCCACTCATCCATCCATCCAATCATCTATCCATGCATCCATTTTTCCTAATTGTCTGCTTTTCCCATGAAACATGTAGGAAAAGTCAGTTTGTAATTGTTCATGTAAGAAGTGGGGAAAAGTCAGTATTTTTACAAATATGAAGTGAAACATTTAGCGGTGGAATCAACAAAACCAAATTAAAAGTTTGTGTGTGTGGAATTTTCTGGGAATTTTAAACGATGCAGAGAAAAACGGACTGCTGTATATAATGCAGTAATCTGGAGTATGCCAATGCATAATAGTTTACATTCATGGATTCAAATACATGGCGAGCCATATTTGTTTTCCAGCTTCAACAAGAATAGGTTTTAAACCTGCACAGTTCATGGTGACAGCACTTTCCTTGCAGTCTGCTTAACAGTTACAGCCCTGTCCTCACCCTGTCAATCTCTATCTCCTTCATGTAATCATTTATTTATAAGGCATTCATGAGCGATCTACACTGTTGCCGGTTGGCTGCTTTTCTGCCCATGGTGTCCCTTGTCAGCTTACATTCCTTCATTTTCCTTTTTTGTAGTCCTTCTTCAGATTTCCTCAGGTCGCCTACATCTCCGTTTTCCATCTGTTGTTCACCAGAGAGCTTCTTATTCTTTTCTCTACTCCGGCATTCTGCAGGCATGTCTTATCCATCTCCATCTTCTTCCTTTGACAACATTTGCCAGTGATAAATATTTTTCTTTTCCTTAGTTCTTCATTTGCGATCTTGTTTTGTCTTTGCCCCATCATCATCATCTCCTTGTTGTGCCATTATATGTTGTACACGGCTTACAGTCTATTTATCCATTCTACTGTGCGCAGTCCTTTCGATATCATGTATCAAATCCAGTGCAGCACCTTTGGCCTTGCTCATCAGTGTTCTTTTTATTGTTTCCTTTGGATGACCTTGCTTTCTCAGTCCTTTTCCCCCTATTGTATTGCCTATTTGGTGATTTTCTGCCCGTTTCTATACAGGATGTGTCCAACACAGTACCATCATCTTAATCTTACACCTGTTGCTACTAGTTGTTGTCCAGACATTGCTCTTATTTCTTCAACCCTGTTAATTCGTCCTATTTATTTGTTCAGCATTTTCCTTGGGCCTTTGGTTTCAAAAGCTGTTAATTTTCATTCTATCTCTCTAGTGGTTTTCCAACTTTCACTGGCATTTATTAAAACTAAAAAAAATTATTACAATTGAAAATACAAAACTAGATTTTTTAACTATACAATTTAGAGTTCACTTTTTGTCCAGGCTTTTAGAAGCTGCTGATGCCCTATCAGATCATATCATAATTCCTTTGTTTTATTTCCTTGGCTATCAAAATGACTACCTAAATAAGTTAACTAACCCTTCTTACTTCAATTCTTTATGTCTCCTTGCCCTTTACCATACTGAGAAGTAATATACTGCGGGAAGTAAGTCAGATTATGGCGAAGGAAAAAATATACTTCTGACATCTTCTTCTTCTTGTTTACTTCCTCTTTCACCACTTCAGGTGTCAAGGGAGATATAAGGTCCTGCTTCGTGCTCTTCTGGCTGCTTTGACCATAGACACATCGTGGTGCTGTCGAGTTTCTCTGATGTTATCTTACCATGTTGTTCTTGGTCTACCTCTTGCTCTACGTCCCTCTCCTCTTTTGGTATTTGCCTTGTATGGTATAGCATCAGAAGGCCTTCTCGCCAAGCGGGCAAACCATTTGATTTGCTGTCTTTGTGTGTAATTTAGAATTGGTTCTGTGCCGATTTGATCTCTTCTGGTCACTCCTACAGCCTTTCTCAGACACCTCATTTCCATGGTTACTAATTTTCTTTTATGTTTTGTTGTGAGTGACCATGTCTGGCACTGGTAGCATAAGATGGAAATGAATACGCTTTGTATGAGATGTCTCTTTGTGTTGATTGGGATTGCCTTATGCTGTAAGAAGGGGGGCTAGCTGTTCCAATACTTGGCCAGCTTTACTGCATCGGACTGACATGGTAATTTAAATTTTAGTGGCCAAGTTAAGAATCTCAATTAATCATATTTATACAAGATACAACTTTCCTGACTGACTCAAAGCAAATAAAATATCATATCCTTGTGTGTCTTTACTTTGACAAAGGGTAAAATCAGCATACACATATGATATCCGTCCATTTATTAAAATACAATTTGTTGTTAAGATTTACTCTTGTTATAAATTCACACATTTATGCAATTTTATAATAAATTGACTTCAGTTTACTTTAACTGTCTCTATAGACACTGTTATGTTGGTCTTAATTACCTCAATGGTTATAAATATACTTTTTTTTGTGTTTTGTTTTTAAAATATGTATAATTTAGTTGAGGGAGGTATATCTTGTTTGTGATAAATTAACTTGCTGAAGAAATTGTAATACTTCTAGTATATGTTTTCTAACTATGCCAATATTTGTTATAAAATGATTTATCTTCCCTGTGTGGGAATAGTGACTCACTACCCCATAATAAGCTTTTATAAATAGTTCTACGTGTGTATAGTAACCAACCTGTTGTGCTCGACTACTTCCATCAACGACAAACTGCATTTCTGGTGGCGGTTGTTGGCTTTGGAGCCTCTAGCAACTGAAATACGCATTTACTGCTGAATTGTTCCAGGACTAGTTGTTTGTTCACCAGTTTTTCAAATGCGACAGTGAAGGATATTTCATTTCATTTTCACTGGATCAGGAATAGAGCAAGTATTGGGAGGCCTCAGAGGCCTGAGAGATGTGGCTTTACAGAACAATGTTTAGAATACCTTGGACAGTCAAAAAGAGCAACTAAGA